AGCTGGTGAGCTCCAGGTTCAGTGAGAGTCAGACCTGCTGGGAACACCTTTATTCCAGTGCTCAGGAGACAGTTTGAGGCTAGCCTTGTCTATCTAGTGAATTTAAGGCCAGTGAGGACTACATAATGAGACCTTGTCTCAGAAAAAAAAAGTTGAGAGCCATTGATGGAAACACCTTACATGAACCCAGGGCTTCTACATGCATATCCACAAGTGTGTGCAGCCTCACACAAATCTACGAAAACAAAACAAAACAGCCGGCTGTAGTGGCTTATGCTCATGAGACTGAAGCAGAAGGATTGTTGCAAATTCAGGACTAGGCTGGGCCATGGTGTGAAACTGTCTCAAAAAACAAAAACAAAACAAAATAAGAGCTGAAAGCCACAGGGTAACTGAGCACACATGCTATGTATCAGATGATGTTAAGACCTGAGGGTTTCTGCAGGTCAGAAGTAGCTGTAAAGAGGAATTTGTCACAGGGTGCTCAGGAAAGTGATAGGAGGTAAGGGACCAAGCGAGGCTGTTGGGACCAGAGCTCCAGGCAAGGAACAGCATGCCCTGAGGCTGGCCCTGTCTGAGGAGCATGCAGAACTGAATTAAAAGACAAGGAGAGAGGCAGAGACAGGCGGATCACTGTGAGTTCGAGACCAGCCTGGTCTACCGAGTGAGTTCCAGGACAAGCTCCAAAACAATACAGAGAAACCCTGTCTCGAAAAACAAAACAAACAAACAAACAAACAAACAAAAAAAGACAATGGAACTAGGCTGAGAGAACCTGTGGGACACTGCTTCACTTGGGCTTATTCACAAGAGAACTCAGTGAGGGAATTGGATCCAAGAAGAGGGACAGGATCCCTCAAGCTGCTATGCGGAGAACAGAGACAGTGGGAGGCCAGTGAGCCATGATGGTGGCAGGTCAAGATGGAAGCTGCAGGCAGGAGCTGGGTTCTGGTGGGCAAGAAGGTGAGACTCCCGCACTGCCAGTGGGTTGAGAGAAAGGGAAGATGCTACTTAGGTTTCTTGAGCAATGGAAGGTGGTTGCAGACTTGGCAGGAAAGGTGGTGGATTGGAGGATCCTTGGGGTGTCCCGGGGCTGCTGGACATGTGCATCTAGAGCACAGTGCTATTCAGACTAGAGATGCAAACCTGACAGTCTGGGAGTCGGGGAGAATGAGGTTGGACAGCCCTGGGGGCTGCATCAGTTCACTATACAGAAACCACAGAGCTGCCAGAGGGTAGGAGGACCAGGTGATCCTGTCCTAGAAGCAAGAAAGACAGCAGTGGAGGGTTTCTAGGAGTAGGATGCAAAGGAGTTGAGGATTCAGTGGAGCCTTGGATGTAGCCTGGAGGTCGCTGTGGCCCTTGATAGCAGATGACATTGCAGCCCAGCAGCATGGTTTTAGGGCAAACATACAGCTTGACCTCCAGGGCCTGGTGTCATCCAAGCAGGGTTTCCCCAGCCCAGTAGCTGTCCTCTGCCCTGCTCATAGAATACCGCTCTCCCTTTCCTCCCCATACTCCCAGACTGGCGCTTGCCTGGGGTGAGTCAGGGCTCTTCTGTCATCTGGGCCCCCTCTGGGCTCTGGGAGGCCGCCACTGGAGCCCTGCCTCTTCCTGGCAGGGAGCATCGAGTACAGCTGTCCGGCCTCCAACGAGTGTGAGATCACCAAGCGGAGACGCAAGGCCTGTCAGGCTTGCCGCTTCACCAAGTGCCTGCGGGTGGGCATGCTCAAGGAGGGTGAGCACTGGGCAGTGCCTGGCTGAGATTGGGGTGGTCCAGTGGGCTGGGTGGAACCCTGGGGAGAAGGTGTGTGTGGGGGGGGTAGGGCTCTATGGAGCAGGTGTTTTATGGACATAGTCTGATCTTACAATTCAAGGCGTGCGTCTGGACCGTGTCCGAGGTGGGCGACAGAAGTACAAGCGGCGGCCAGAGGTGGACCCGTTACCTTTCCCAGGCCCCTTCCCTGCTGGGCCTCTGGCAGTAGCTGGAGGCCCCCGGAAGTCAGGTGAGATCCTGGGTTCCTAAGCTTTGGGGTGGTGGTGGGGCAGCTACTGGAGAGGCCTGTTTGATTTCCTTACATGCTTTAAGACCGAGGTCTTGCCGGGCGGTGGTGGCGCACGCCTTTAATCCCAGCACTCGGGAGGCAGAGGCAGGCGGATCTCTGTGAGTTCGAGGCTCGGCTGGACCGACAGCCTCCAAAACAATACAGAGAAACCCTGTCTCGTAAAAACAAAAACAAAAACAAAAAAAAAAAAAAACCACCATGACCAAAAAGCAACTTGGGAGGAAAGGGCTTATTTCAGTTTACAGCTCTGAGGCCACACTCCATCACTGAGAGAAATAAGGGCAGGAACTCAACGCAGGAGCTGATACAGAGGCTACAGAACACTGCTTACTGGCTTAATCTCTTGGCTTGCTCAGCCTCCTTTGCTATACATCTCAGGCCCACATCAATCATAATCAAGAAGATGCCCTACAGACTTACCTATGGGCCAATCTTTTTTTTTTTTTGGTTTTTCGAGACAGGGTTTCTCTGTGGCTTTGGAAGTTGTCCTGGAACTCGCTTGGTAGTCCAGGCTGGTCTCGAACTTACAGAGATCCGCCTGCCTCTGCCTCCCGAGTGCTGGGACTAAAGGTGTGCGCCACCAACGCCCGGCCCTATGGGCCAATCTTAATGGAGACATTTTCTCAATTAAGATTCCCTCTTCAAAAAAAAAAGAAAAATTTCCTCTTTCTAGATACGTGTATGTGTCAAGTTGACAAAGACAAATCAGCACTTTTTTTTTTTTTTTTTTTTTTGGTTTTTTGAGACAGGGTTTCTTTGGAGGCTGTCCTGGAACTCACTTTGTAGACCAGGCTGGCCTCGAACTCACAAAGATCCGCCTGCCTCTGCCTCCTGAGTGCTGGGATTAAAGGTGTGTGCCACCAACACCTGGCTCAGCACTTTTTTTTTTTTTTTAAGTTGTTGGGGAAACTAGGAGCTACTAAATGTTAGACTGGGGCTGTATGCTAACTACACCCAAGCCCCAGGGAAAGGTCTGTGCTCACCTTTCTCTGAGGAAGTGAGCACTGTCTTCAGGGTTACCAGTGCGGCTCTCGAGGAAGGCCAGAGGGGAGTGTCTGGGAAGCCACTTGGCTGAGGGGCTTTGGAGGGCTGCCAGATGTGTGCTGGTGACTCTAGTCCTGCACCTGTCACTGCAGCCCCAGTGAATGCGCTGGTGTCTCACCTGCTGGTGGTTGAGCCTGAGAAACTGTACGCCATGCCTGAGCCAGCGAGTCCTGACGGACACCTCCCTGCCGTGGCCACTCTTTGCGACCTTTTTGATCGAGAGATAGTGGTCACCATCAGTTGGGCCAAGAGCATCCCAGGTAAAGGGTTTGGTGGTCAGGGCATCTCTGAACATGTAGCCACACCTGTCTCTGCTGCGTTCTTGACTGTCCTGTCCCCACTGCCCTCCAGGCTTCTCCTCACTGTCACTGTCTGACCAGATGTCAGTACTACAGAGTGTGTGGATGGAGGTGCTGGTGCTGGGTGTGGCCCAGCGCTCACTGCCACTGCAAGATGAGCTGGCATTTGCTGAGGACCTGGTCCTGGATGAAGAAGGGGCCCGGGCAGCTGGTCTGGGGGATCTGGGGGCAGCCCTGCTGCAGCTGGTACGGCGACTGCAAGCCCTACGGCTGGAGCGGGAGGAGTATGTACTGCTGAAGGCTCTGGCCCTTGCCAATTCTGGTGAGTGTCCAGGGAAGGCACTCCAATTGTCAACACTGGGGCACAGTCCCTTTTTGTAGATAAGGAAAACGGATGAGCCAAAGTCCTGAATTGTACACAGGCTTCTAAGCTCTAGTGCTGTGCTGACAAGGAAATAGTGGAAGGGAAGGTATGGAGGACAGGAGGTGGCCACAGGTGAGAAAGAATGGGCCCTGGCTCACAGACAGCAGGGAGTGTATTCCCCGTGTAGCAGTACCCAAGACTTGAATCCCGCCTTTTCCATCCTTCACCAACGGTTCTCTCCCCTCCTTAGACTCTGTGCATATTGAAGATGCTGAGGCTGTGGAGCAGCTGCGTGAAGCCCTGCATGAGGCCCTGCTGGAGTATGAAGCTGGCCGGGCTGGCCCTGGAGGGGGTGCTGAGCGGAGGCGGGCAGGCAGGCTGCTGCTTACACTGCCACTCCTCCGCCAGACAGCAGGCAAAGTCCTGGCCCATTTCTATGGGGTGAAGCTGGAGGGCAAGGTGCCCATGCACAAGCTGTTTTTGGAAATGCTTGAGGCCATGATGGACTGACGCAAGGGGTGGGACAGGGTGGGTGGCTGGCAGGATCTGCCCAGCATGGATGTTAGCCCCAAGGGGGCAAAGCTGGAGTCTGGGCAGTGCCACAGCCTGCTGGCAGGGCCAGGGCAATGCCATCCGCCCCTGGGAGTAGGCTCCATGCCCTCCCCTCCCCACTATGGGGGGCTGTCAGAAGCCAGGAAAGTGAATGCCCAGGTGTGGGCACAGTGCTGCCCCTTGCAAGCCATAATGTGCCCCCAAGAGTGTCAGGGGCCTTGCGGAAGCCATAGGGGGCTGCAGGGGATGTATGGGAGGCAGAAACTGATCTCAGGGAGGGAAGGGGATGGAGGTCACAGTCTCCCAGCGGGTGATGCTTTTGCTGCTGCTTAATCCGATGATCCCCTCTCCAGAGCAGAGGGGGCATGGAAAGCAAAGGCCCCTGTCCCCTTCGCTCCCCTTCATTCGCATTGGGCATTAGTGCCCCCCCCTTGAAGCAATAACTCCAAGCAGGCTCCAGCCCCTGGACCCCTGGGGTGGCCAGGGCCCCCCATCAGCTCCCACCTCGAGGGGTGGGGGGACAGCACTGCCTCTATGCCCTGCAGAGCAATAACACTATATTTATTTTTGGGTTTGGCCAGGGAGGTGCAGGGCCATGGGGCAAGCCAGGGGACCAGAGCCCTTGGCTGTACAGAGACTCTATTTTAATGTATATTTGCTGCAAAGAGAAACCGCTTTTGGTTTTGAACCTTTAATGAGAAAAAAAAATATACTATGGAGCTCAAGTACATGGTGGTCGGTGAGTCATTGGGGGGAGATGGAGTAACACATGACATAGTTAACAGGTCATACAACTGATAGCATCACAAATGCTAAAGTAGCGGCTAGCAAGCTATGTTTCAGTTTCCTCGTCATTCAGCAACATATTGGGGATCCCGCGGCTGATGGGGAAAAGACGGCCAGATTCTGGGCATTGCAGGGTACCCTCCAGCACATCAACCTGTGGGGGAGCAGGACAAAGCTGAGCACCGGGAGCCTCCGAGTAGGAGCGCTAGGCAGGGGACAGTCAGGGTTCTCACCTCAAGCAACACGTGGTGCATCTTCCTCAAAAACGTCTCGTCGTGCTCATAGCCTTCAGTCGGCTCTTTGGGTACCTCGGCCAGGTTTAACTGGAAAAGAGGCTTATGTGGTCACCGAGCATACAAACTCTATTCCGCCCCGTCAGGGTAAAGGCCAGGAGCCCGCCCTCGGGGTGACAGAAGGGGCGGGGTCCTCACAGTGTCCGCCGCTTGCACAAGCGCCGCCCACTCCACTTTAGGGATCATTCGCGCCACGAAATCAGGATTGAACTCCACGGGGTTGATGCGGACCTCGGTGGCCTGTGGGGAGGAAAGGTTTAGTAAGGTAGGGTCGGGCCCCAGTGTCTGTTTCGGGCTACAAGGGCGACAGACTCTCATACAAGTACCTGCAGCCGCAGCGGGAAGCCACGCGTGCCCACGCCCCGCACGTGCGAGCTCAGGAGATTGTGGGTGAGCAGTTTCATGTTGCCACACAGGAGCTCGCGAGGCCGGAACCGGAAGGAGTGCACGCTTCTTATACCACTTCCGCTGTTGAAGCCGTTGGACAGTCCGCCGGACCGGAAGTGGCGAACTTGCTGGAACTTCTGAGGTTTTGCGGCAGCAAAGGAATGGGCAATACTGAGCTGGGTCAAGTCCTGATACCGGAAGGGTTTCTCAGGGAGATTACAACGGCGTACGCCGAGCCCCACTCACTGTAAATCACACGTACAATGCGAATCATATGCAAAGCACGTGCTCTCGATGAGTGTAAAACAGGAACATTAGAGGCTTAAGCCAGATTATACCCCGACCCCTGTTTACGGCTCAGGGTCAGAAACTGTTACACGATAAACTAGGCACCTCTTTCTGCATGCAAATAAGGCGCGCGACCCCTGCGAGCCCCGCTGCGTCATAAGGCGTCACGGCTCAGCCCCTATAAATCGACGTTGTAGGTGCGGCTAGAGCTGGTGTGGGCGGAGCGGATTCGGCACCCGCCTCCGGTGGGCAGATCCAGCGGCGGGCGGGGGCCTGCGGTAACAGGGCGGGCTTGCTACGACCGGGGATGCGCGGCTTAGCCGGTTCAGTACTCCGAGCAGCGGCTATCTGGACGTGCGAGGCAGGCCAAGCAGGCCGGGAAGCAGCAGGGTGGGAGCGTAGCGGGGCCCGCAGCTTCAGCAGCGCCTCGGTGGCTATGGCCCCGATCAAGGTGACCGGTCCTAGCTCACCTGGGTACACCCTGTAGCGGCTCTTTGGGTTCCACGCGGGGTCGCGGGCTGTCTGACGCTTTCTTCCTGTCATACTTTTTACAAGACCCCCTCGCTGCCCCTCCGCCCCTGTCCATGGACAGGTCCCCACCATTTCAAGTCACCGAATGCTATGTCATTTTCCACATTGTGAAATATCAACTTCGCCGAGTGGCCGCTTTCAACCCCTTAAACCCTCTTCAGAACCCCAGCCATTTCATGATAGTACTAGATGCACTTCACCGCATCTTTTGAAAGAGCTGTGGTCTCTTGGAGGCCGGGGTCTGTTTTCCCCATTGCTGTCTTTCCTCTGTGAATGCTTCCCCTGCTTCTGTTTAGTCTTTCTGGAAGCTTCTTGAACCTACCCCCTCTCCTGTCCTTGGACTCTATCCTTCATTCCTTCTTCCCTCCCTCCCTCCCTTCCTTACTTTCCTTCTTTCTTTTTTTAACAGTCTCACTGACTGGCCTGGAACTTTGTGTGTAGTCCAGACTAACCTCAGACTCTCGAAGATCTGCCTGTCTCTGCCTCGCTAGTATTGGGATTAAAGGCTCTTTCTTTTTTAAAAACATTTTTTAGTATGTACTTAGGGCATTTGGGAACACACGTGTGCGTGAGTGGAGGTCGGAGGACAAGTTTCTCAGGAGTCAGTTGTGGGTGGTGGGGATAGAACTCAGGTGGTTAGGTTTGGTGGCCAGCGCGTTTACTTGCTGACCCCAGCTTCCTTTTTTTTTTTTTTTCCTGTGGATGCAGGAAACCTCCAGGTAGGTTGACGCTCCCCACCTACCCTCCGAGCCTGTGTCCTGAACACTTGGGCTTGGGCTTTTCATTGTGTGGACAGGATTTTCTCAGTCCCTGTTGCCAGGGACTTTCTCAACTCCAAACACAGCCCTGTGTACTTCTCCCTGTGCATTGATCCATCTTGGGTGATTCGTTTACACAATATTGCGACACTTGTGGAGGACTCTCCCTTTCTCTCTTGCCACCAACTGGCCTTAAGCAAAGCCAGGCTTCCTTGAAGCTTGTAAGATATGGTGCACTGGGAGATACAGAGGACAGAGATGGACTCCTGGGAACTGACAAGGAACAGGTTCTCTGCTGGGTGCTAGCACCAGCTCCATCAAGGTCTGTGTCTGCTTGGTTGTGGCTTCCTGGGCCTTTCTTTACCCCCTTTTATCCTGGGGTCCTTGTCGTCTCCAGGTGGGAGATGCCATCCCCTCAGTGGAGGTATTTGAAGGGGAGCCTGAAAACAAGGTGAACCTGGCCGAGCTCTTCAAGGGCAAGAAAGGTGTGCTTTTTGGAGTTCCTGGGGCGTTTACACCCGACTGTTCTAAGGTGAGGCTTCTTTCCAGGATCAGGAGCTTGGGAGAAAAGGACCCCAGTTAAACCTAACCCTCTGATTGGTGCGGCTGGTGGGAGCACTGACAGTTTACTTGGGACTTGTGCTAATGAGACAAAGGTTTTACCCATGGGAATTTCATGCTGACCACAGATATTTGGGTTCAGGCCTCCCAGTAGCCAACGGGAAAAAGGAAATGGCGTGTTTCACATTGGTTTCCTTAACCTAAACAGAGGTACCAGGGAATAGGAAACTAAAGACCAGGCTTTGGGAACATCAACAGTTGTCTTTCTTTTGTCCCTTTGTTTCCCTTTTAGACCCACCTGCCTGGGTTTGTGGAGCAAGCCGAGGCTCTGAAGGCCAAGGGAGTGCAGGTGCTGGCATGTCTGAGTGTTAATGATGTCTTTGTGACTGAAGAGTGGGGTCGAGCCCACAAGGCAGAAGGCAAGGTGAGGTGTGGGGCCTGTGAGGGGTCAGGCCCAGGTAAGAGATGGTCTAGTTTTTCATTACATTTTACTTACTTGTTTTATGTGTGGGGTGGGCACTCATGCCATGGTGCTCAAGTGGAGGTCACAGGATAACCTGTGAGACTTGGTTCTCTCCTTCTGCCATGAGGGGGTCTTGGGTATTGAACTCAGGTTGTCAGGCTTAGCAGCAAGCACCTGTACTCACTGAGTCATCTCTCTGGCACTGGAGGTTTCCTTGTGACATTTACTCTCTGTCCCTCAGGTTCGGTTCCTGGCTGACCCCACTGGGGCCTTTGGGAAGGTGAGTGCACCACCCTTCCTTCAACTTGCAGTTGGGCCTTCTAGGACGTGTTGTGTGGGGAGCAGCCCATGACATGTTTGGGGTCTCTTGACACCTGTCTCTGCTTGTCTTCTAGGAGACAGATTTACTACTAGATGATTCCTTGGTGTCTCTCTTTGGGAATCGCCGGCTGAAGAGGTAAAGTGGAAGCACTCCCCCTGACACTAGGGCCCTGGCAGCTGGCGTGGCTTGTGCAGCTGTACCTCTTTCCCCGCAGGTTCTGCATGGTGGTAGACAATGGCATAGTGAAGGCACTGAATGTAGAGCCAGATGGCACAGGCCTCACCTGCAGCCTGGCCTCCACCATCATCTCGCAACTCTGAGGCTCTGGCCAGATGAAGGTCCTCTGCCCCTCCCGTCTTCCCTCCTACCCAGGAGGCCCAGCCCCTCCTCACCTTGGGCCACTTAAATGGAAGCTTGACTATATTTATGCAATAAACAGTCTGATTTGGCGTGGAATTGACTGCTTTGTCCTTTCTATTGGTGTAGCTTCGGTTGGAGCTGAGGTCATTGGCAAGGGTTTGTGAGAGAAAGTGGAGGACAGCCAGGGCAAGTTTCTGGAATCATCTCTAAGCCAACCTGGAAGCTGAAGGAAAGCCAGAATTGGCTTTGCTTGGTGTATCCTGAGACAGCTGGTGTTTGGTTGAGGAGCTGGCTGATTCCATTTACCTTTTTATACATAGGACAGGAGGTTTGGTTTCAGGGCTCCCCCTTGGCAGACTCCAGTTCCCCTAGGAGTATCTCTGGTACTGGCCAGAGCACACAGTACCAGGTTCAGTACAGGAGACTTCCTGAGGGTGGAGCCTTGGAGAGGTGTGGCCAGTGTGTGGGAATGAGGGACCAAGAGCCAGGGACACTGGTGAATAGGGCTTGGGACCTCAGGAGATGCAGACCCTGCTCCTGGCCCTCGGAATCCATGTTCAGGGGAGCAGGGGGCGACTGGGAAGCCCTTGCTGTGTTTAGGAGGTTGTAGATGCTTACAGAGCTCCTGACTGATCTGTGTGAGGTGTAACAGCTGTTCTGTACTGTAGCAGGCTTTCTCTTGGACCGCCAAGCAGCTCCCAAATAAAGACACAGAAACATAGTATTAGTTATGAATGCTCAGCCTTAGCTTATGCTTGTCCTACTAGCTCTTAATTTAACCTGTTCCTTTTCGGCTTCATTTTGCCTCGGGGCTTTTTACCTTTCATTCTGTAGTTCCTACTCCCTCTGTGTCTGTCTGGTTCCAGGTGGTTGCCTGGCTGGGCAACCCTGGGCATCCCCCTCTCTCCCTAGTTCTCTCGATACTTCCTGTCAACTAGTTGCTAACCTTGCCTCTCTGAGCCCAGGCTAATTTTATTTAGTTAACACATTTTACGCAGTTAAACAAATGCAGTATAAACAAATGTAACACATCTTTGCCTGGTTAAATATTCTACAACACTGTATAGCACTTAAGACCAACTAGCTCTGCATCAGTCAGATGCTGAGAGGCCAGGCAGGGTGGAAAGGAGCCTAGAGACTCGAGTGGCAGAGGTGAATCAGGCTGAGCTTGAAAGGTAGAACTGGCCTAGGTTATAGCAGGGTCAGGCAGTCTGGGCACTGGGGCTGTTTGGCTGAAGCCATTTGGAAGTTAGTTCAGGACTTTGAGAGTGGTAAGCAATTTGCCTCCCAGTCTTCCGAGTCATCAGAGGATTTGTCCAGAGTATAGGTCAGAGTCAAATCTGAGCCAGTGTGTGGAGCTGGGAGACAGAATAAGGTGTTGAAAGATCTGTGATGGGATGCTAGGGTACTGGGCAAGCGGGCCCGTGGGCTCTCAAGGTGGAGGGCTAGGTGGTGACTCTGAGCTCTCCTACTACGGGGGCCCACCCCTCAGCTACCAGAGTGTCCAGTGTACCCATCTTTTCTCCTGAGATTCTCCCATCCTACCCACCACCCATCCTTATGTCACTGGCCACTGGGACACAGTGCAGAGACTTGTCCTTTCCCACTTCTAGAGATAAACGAAGGAGCTGAGGGACAGGGCTTCCTACCACAGGGCCCTGCACTGACTGGTGACAACACTGGCCCCGGAGCTCACCTCCCGTTCTCTGCAGCTGCTTACCACCATGGCAGGCCCTCTGGCAGATTCCAGCTTTCATTTCCCACTGGCCGCCTGTTTTTCCCATCCTTACTAGCCCTCTAAAGAAGTGTCCCCTCCAGAGTCTCTTGTGAGAAGGGGCACCTTAGGATAGGTTGGGGCTGGTGGGCCCTGGTTGCACAGCACCTGGACTCATGTCTAGTAGATGAACCAGCCCTGGAGTAGCTCCAGGCTCCTAAGGAGATCAACACCTGCAGTGAGGCTGTTTCTAGAGCCAGAAGGCTTGGCTTCAGGCCTGAGGTAAGGCTAACCAGGCCATGTGGATTGGGCCTGAGGGCTTGGGAGGCCTGAGGCTGCACCTGGAACAGGGACTGGTGGTTTTCCTGGACTGTAGAGGCCAAAGGGCCAATAAAACCAAACAATTGAACAAATGTCCCAAAACAATCCTGACACACATTAAGAAGAGAGGTTACAGCATTCGGAGGCAGAGGCCAGCCTGATCTAC